GAACTATGCAGCTCTCCTGCAGAAATCTAAGGGAGGACTTGTATTGGCATTAACGATTGTTGGTGCTGGAAAGACATAACGAATTGTTATTTACTATTTTATTTATGTATTTGTTCACTTATCTTTATAAAATTCCATTCCATTCATCCGCAAAGTATAAAAACAGACATTTATGTTACGTTAACCTCTCTTTATGTAGCTCTTTCTTTTATGTGCTTTTTAATTAGGCTGAAATAAAGATATGGGTAGAGTTTAATTTACACAAAAAAAATAGGTTCTAAGGTACGTAAAAAAAAAAGAATTAAACCGTGTTACTAATTCATTGGGCATATATATTTTTATATATTTTAATACTGTAAAATATAAACTTTTTATATATTAAAAACAAGACCTGTTACCCTGAATCTCGTCATTCCCCTCATTCAGTAAGTGGCCCAGCCAATTTGTATAGCCCTGTAAAAATTAGTCCTAACCTTCAGATTACTTTAAATAAATACCTCCGGCTGAATTAAACTCTTTTTGCAATGTATTATGTAGATCAGGCTTCCCCAAACTCCGGCCCTACAACTCCCATTAACCTTTGAATCATGGGAGTTGTAGTTCATGGGAGTTGTAGTTCAGCAACATCTGGAGGGCTGGAGTTTGGGGAGGCCTGATGTAGATGATGAATTAAAAAAAATAAAAACTAATTAAAATTAAGGAAAACTCTAAGCATCATAACCACTACATAGCGCTTCAGTGGTTATGGTGCCAGAAGTGCTCTTATGCACCACCATTGTAAGGAGTCAAACTGTGCTCGGCAGACCAGGAAGGATCTGAAACTAGTAAGCCAATCAATTCCTTCCCATTGGCTTCAGTTAGAGTGCAGAGCACCCTCACCTGGTGCTGAGATTCCAGGCTCCAAAGAGTCGCTTCAAGAAAATCCCAGCTACGCACAAAGAACTTTATTTATAAAAGAAATCTGTGCTACAATAAAAATGTGTGTTTCTATACTCCTATAGTAGATAGTCAGTTTCAGTAAGATATGCCGTAAACACAATGAGGTTTATTAACTAAACACCAAACTGTAGCAAAATCAAAACGGAATCACAAAAATGAAGCTAAAATAGCTAACGCGGAAACATTCTCCAGTGCAGCTGGTTACATTTCGGTTAATTTGGGGTAAATTCTGTAGTTTTGCTTTCATCTCCTTACATACATACTGCATTTAGTAGAATACTCCGCTTTCTTTCAGGAGAATGAAGCATCAATGTTAACAATTATATAGA